TCCCACTATAAATACAAACGTTTCTCCTTTGCCTTTCCTTAAACTCACATCTTCCTTACTACCAAAAACAAACAAAGAAAAAAAAAAAAAAAACTCAAACTACTTCTTCAAGTTCATATTATTATTCTAAATAAACAAGAAAACATGGTTAAAAAAGGGTGGTTAGCAATTCAAGTTGGCTTAGAAGAAGAAGATGATCATTGTCAAAAATTTGAGATACCGATAAGTTTCTTGTATCATCCATTGTTCGCAAATCTACTAGACAAAGCTCGTGAAGTGTACGGGTACTACGCCGACGGTCCGCTTAAGCTACCGTGTTCGGTCGATGATTTTCTTGATCTAAGATGGAGGATTGAGAAAGAGGGTTCAAGTCATAGTAGGGTTCATCATCATCAACATAATCATCCTCTTCATCATCATTTTAGTCATGCTTTATCTTTTCACTCTTGTTAACCTAAACGAGTAAATAAAAAAAAGTTGTTAGTGAAAGGTTTTGTAATTTTGCCTATCCAACCCTTTTTTTTTACATCTAAATCTTAATTAGAGAGAATTGTACTTTATAGAAGTACTCGTATTAAATATGAATATTATATTACAATGGACTGGTAGTTTGTTACACATCCGATTTATGTTCTCTTCTTCTTGTAAATTTCAATTCAAGGGATTTTCGTGATTTATATGTTTGATTAATTGAGAATCGGGAAATATAAGATTTAAATTTCATTAGAAAAGCGGGTATTTTAATATGAGAGGGTTCAATTCTCATAGGTAGAGTCACAAGTGTAAATAAAGATTGATTAAATTTCTTATTATTATGTATGATTAATATTATTGTGATATATTCAAAGATAAGTATTGTGTGAATGTGTGGTGTTGATAGCACAAAGTAATCGGAAAATTCAATCAGTGAATGAAATGAAAAAGGACAGTGCGGGTGTTGACTATTGTAATATTGTTGTTCACTTGTTTGAGAAACTTATTATTCTTGGGAATATTCTTTTGTTCAAGAAATTAATGAATTGAATCAAGATTAATTAGCAATAATTAAATTAAAAAGAACAATTACTGTATTAATTATAATCAAAATTGTTAAATAATGTTATCTTCTTGTTAGTCTTATCCTCAATGCACATAACGGTGATATGATTGGGCTAGAGCAATATGTATTTGACTTGTGTTTGTTAGTTTGGAATAAATGACACAAAGGGGTCCGACTTGGATATAGTACACGAAAAAATTATGCAAATCACTTTATTTTTGCTTTTAAAATTATTTTTAATGAAATTAAATTATTTTTTCTCAATTTAAATTATTTATATATATATTTTTTTTATAATATTTCTTTTTTAAAGTTAATGAATTTTATCAAATTGGATTATTTTTGCTAAACTATTTTTTTTTTTTACTGAATTGAACTTATTTTTTTACTAAATTGCAATTATTTTTTTAAGATGTACTGAACATGGCCTAAATTATTTATTTTTTTTAAAAAAAAAACCTAAAATTTGTTGCCACCAACCGTATCATGTAATTAGAGATCAATTATTAATACTCTAAATTCCTAAATTGCCCCTCTAAAAGAATAGAAAAAAAATCTTGTACGTGCCGGACATGTCAATTGTCATGTACGTGTGTTGATAATTGATATTGACTAGTTACGAAGTAGTATTTGATTTTATTGATAACTAGTCTTTTGACTCGTTTGATGCACGAGTTATTACTTGGATAAACTTTAAATATAGTACACAAAGTAATTGTTTCATTGGTAAAACTTTTTTTAAAAAAAAATAAGAAAATGGTTAGAGTAGAACTTTGAAAGAAGATGAAGGATTAGGTATATATATATATATATGAAGATTGTGGAATATGAAATGACGTATTAGTTTAAGTTATATTTTAAGTGTAGGAGATGAAAAGACAATTTTGATTATAATTCATATGTTTTATGTAATATGTAGTAATTATGGTGGAAATGAAACATTTCATTTTCTTTCTTGAATTTCCAAGTTATAGAATGCATAAAGACTTGAACAAAAAAATTAAGGGACCTGACATGTGACATATGGGGTTAATGAGTGACTTGTGATGACATGTGTCATGTAAAAAATATGTGGTTTGTGTTTTTAAATACTAAAGTATAGATTATATTTTTAAATTCTACTTCCTTGTCATCCTCGGTTCTTTTTAACTTGACATATTTATTTTATTACGCTTGTCAATGCAAAACTTTAACGATTATTAACTTTGATTACCCATAGGTAAAAATTATAAAAGTTATGTATTACGATAGTACTTATTGACATGAATTTTAAAAAAAATACTACATGAATATGTTTTTTCTTATATTACGTATATTCTTCACAAAAGACGGTCAAACGAGAGGTGGTGAATAGTGTAGAAGTCAAAGCAGATCAAGTAAAAAAAACGGAGAAAGTATGTTGTAGTATTAACTTTGTTGTAATTTAATTTAATCCTTTTTATGATTAATGATTTTAATTTGTTTGGTTACGGATTGAATAATCTAAGGGCCTATTTCTGATTGACTGAACTGATTAGAGTTGAAGTGAACTGATTAGAGTTAAAGTGAACTGATTAGAGTTAAAGTGAACTGAATATTTTATGAGAGAAGAAAATTAGGAGCTGAACTGAATTAAATTGAATTTATTAGAGCTGAATTGAACTAAACTTATTAGAGCTGAACTGAAAATAATTGTATCAGAACAGACCCTAAGAATGAACCACTTACGCCAATAAAACCGATGACGTTGAAATAGATATCAGTAGTATGGTGACTAGATTTTGTTAGTTACGGAGTAGATTAAAATTTTCAATAGAGTTTGGCCATGCATCATGCCCTTTCTATGAGTTGCATAGTCAATTAGAGCTGCAACTTATTTCTTGTGATTTGTGAATTGTCCATTTTTATGCAAAACTGTACTCGTAAGTTGTTTTCAGTTTTTAATCAGCCAAAGAGTGCCTTAGGAGTAAATTATGACTGATTGATGCTGATATGAATACGTTTTATTATAAATGTCAATGGTATCAACTATATATTCACAATTGCAATACATTATCAAAATGACAAATAAATAAATAATACAGTAATACGAAGTGATTATTAATCTAAAACGTCATACTGACACGACTCATACGAGTTAAGTTAAGAAAAATAAAATACTAACTTAATTACCTTCACAAAAGGATGATGTTTATTGTTCATTTGTTTGTGATGTCTACTCAATGTCAAGCCATTAATAGTTCCAATTAGATAAACTCCTAATAGTTACCATTGTACCCTTTTATGTTATTTTCCTATGCTTGTAACATTGATTGATTGTAAAATTTTCATTAGATTATACACGATCCCACGTCAGAGTAAAGCATGACCATATACAAATCTAAACGTGAATACTTACCTCCGTTTTTTATTTGTTGACACATATTTCTTTTTAGGAAATTTTACTCCGTATTTTAGTTGACACGTTTCCTTTTTGGGTAAGTTATATACATTGTTCTTTAAGTGTACCCTATTTGGTTTATCATTCTCTCTTACTCTCTCTTCTCTCCTTAATATGTGTACTTAAATTGAACGTGTCAACTAAATAGAAACGGAAGAAGTATCAAGTATGTTATAAGCAGTAAAGTTTGACTACATACTTTTTTTTTTTAAGTTTGGGCAACCAATAAGTCTATTGTGCACCCTGGTCCATCTAGGATAGCTGGACCACAACAAATTGTTCAGATTTTATTACCAAATGTTCAAAAGTATGGACGTGGTGCAGTGTTCGGATTTTTGTACAAAATGTTCAAAATTTGCAATTGTTCAGATTTTTTTACAAAATGTTTAAAAGTATAGGCATACATTGAGATTGTTCAGATATTTTTACTAAATGTTTAAAATTTACGAGGTTCAAATTTTTTTTACTTAATGTTCAAATTTTGCAATTGTCTAGATTTTTTTACTAAATGTTCAAAAGTATAGGTGTGGTCAATGCGATTGTTGAGATATTTTTACTAAATGTTCAAAATTTGCGATGTTCGGATTTTTTTATTAAATGTTCAAAATTTGCAATTGTTCATATTTTTTTTACCTAATGTTCAAAAGTGTAGGCGTGGTGCAGTGCAATTTTTTAGATATTTTTACTAAATGTTCAAAAATTTTGATGTTAGTTCGGTTTTTTTTTTTTTTTTTTTTTTTTTTTTTTACTAAATGTTCAAAAGTATAGGTGTGGTACAATGCGATTCAGATACTTTTACTAAATGTTCAAAAAATTTTAAGTTCAGTTCAAATTTTTTTTACTAAATGTTTAAAATTTGCCATCGTTCAGATTATTTTTACTAAATGTTCAAAAGTATAGACGTGGTACATTGCGATTGTTCAGATATTTTTACTAAATGTTCAAAATTTTTGATGTTCAGTTCGGATTTTTTTACTAAATGTTCAAAATTTGCAATAGTTTAGATTTTTTTACCAAATGTTCAAAATTATAGACGTGGTACATATAACTAACTTTGAAACAATCAATTAATAAGAATTCATACAAAATAATAAGAACGATAAAATTAATCAATCAAATTAAAGAGAAGAATCAAATATATCAATTAATCGATCGTAATGACTTGAAATGGCTTGAAATCGATCATAATCGATTAAAATCGGTAGGATTAGCTTCAAGAAATTCAAATAAAATTAAAACAAGATTTTTTTTTGAAGAACAAATTAAAATAAGGATTAAATCCACACATTCATCTCAAAAACAAAAACTAAATCAATATTGATCACAATGAATTCAGAATGACTAACCTTGATTGATCTCTTCAGGAATTTCAACGATATTCATCACGTTAAATGCAACAAATCAATGGAAAAAATTAAAGAAAAAAAAAATCAAAAAACAGAGGAGAGAGAAGAGTATGAGAAAAAAAAATATGATTGAAAAAGAAATAAAAGAATCAGATTAAAAAGGGAAAGAAAAGATCTTATAAAAAAGGAAAAAAAAAATAAAGAAGAAGAAGAAGAAGAAGAAGAAGAAGAAGAAGAAGCTAAGATTTCAGGATTGAAGAACAAAGTGAAGTTGTGTCTAATTAAGAGATCCGTGGATTTAGTGACAGGTCCATATAGAATAGGTGGATCAGGGTCCATGTAAGAATTTGTATTTGGGCAACCTAAAACTTAAGGCCCAAATTTGGGCTCAAAACCTTGGTCCGAAATAGGCCCAGCTATAATGCCAAGGCCCGACCCAACCAACCCAACCCGAACCCATGATCAGATTTACTCGGTGCATAATACAGTCGTACGGTCCGACCTTCTATGAGGTTCGTTGCAAGTTTGCACATACACAGACGTTGCAGCTTCTAAAACCATCAATTCATTCATCTAACTTCTACATTTCTCTCTCTTCTTCCAATTCATCTTCATCTTCTTCTTCACAAATCCTTCAGTTCAATCTCCATTGAATTCGACCTTCAAAATTCCACCATTCACACAATTTCTCCACTTTCTCTCTCCTCCATGAACAACAATTTTTCTTTTTACAATGTGGACTAGAGCAGTTTACTCCCAAATTTCTAAATTATCAATTCTCAACCCCAATTTAGGGTTAGGGTTAGGATTAGGGTTTTGTTCGAGATTGTATTCTACTGTTGAAAGAGGTAAGAGATTTGCTGCGGTTTGGGGAAACGGCGATTTTGGGAGATTAGGCCTTGGAAGTGTCGATTCTCAATGGAGGCCTGTAATTTGTCCTGCTTTCAATGGCGATAATCTTCGTTCTATTGCTTGTGGTGGTGCTCATACTCTTTTTCTAACAGGTTTTTACTTCAATTTATCTTGCTTTTGTTCTTCAATTATGATCATGGAGTTGGAATTGATGGTTTGATCAATTTGATTTTGATGTTTTAAGCTCAATTTTGATTTATGTTTGGGTAATTTTATCATTTTTGCAATGTTAGTGTGATTTTGTTTTTTTAGTTATATTTGTGTGTAATATTGGGAGGAATTCAGTTTTAGTTGTCATATGACAGAATCTGGGCGTGTTTATGCCTCTGGACTCAATGATTTCGGACAGCTTGGGATTTCGGATGATAAGAATTACGCAATGGTACGATATCGAGTGCCATAGTCAGGCCAAGAAATAAGTGTAACATGTCCTGCATTGTCTTTTGTTATTTTTTGTTTGCCAAACTGATATTCATAGGTTTTTGACATTGTAAATTATAATCCTCAATGTGATTGGTATCACCGTCTTGAAATTAAGGTTTAGGAGCAGTCTCACTTAATCTTTTCCTGCTTGATAACCAAACTAACAAATTTCTCATATGAAGGCATTTTGAACATATTATTCTTTCATCAATATATGATAACTTTGTGTTTTATGTGTTCGAGGTTATTTTCCTTGTAATAAATGTATGTTGGGAAATTGGGAGGATAAATTTGGTAGCGATGGTCTAGTAAGTCATCTAAGTATTGGAGAAATTGGAAGTATTGGTTGTAGCAACAATTGTAATATTGGACTAGCGAATAGCCAAAGAAAGCGGTGACAGCAAGATAATGATAAGGGGATATCATGGTGAGGGATGTGGTTTCCCTTATATTGGAGGAAGTTGAATTGATGGCTGCAGTTTAATGGTGTTAGATTATGTTAATGTGACTACACCACTAACACGAGTACACAGCATCTTGTATTGAAGGTGCATTAAGTAGGTGATACCTTTGCGCAATTGACATGTGTCCTTGTCTTGGCTTCTCATTTTTCTATTGCGTGGCATGCTGATTGTTAGAAAACCTTTATTTCAATCATGGCATTTTCCCACTGAGGCTTGGATGTTGGATATAACATTTCTAAGACTCAGATCATCCTCAGGCTTGCGTAGGGTCACCTACCTTTCCAAGTGGTTTCCAAAGCATAAACTTTCTCCATGAGCTTCACAAAGAAGATTTTTTCTGTTATCTTCAATTTCCTTCGCATAAGCTCCTGCAGCTTTGAATTAGGAAGGTTTTAACTAAACTCAAGTTGGTATTGAGTCTGTGTAGTCAACTCCCAAAAGAAAGACAGATCCTTTCTTTCCATCTTAGTGCATAAAAATAACAACCAGATACAAAAAGAGATATTCAAAGGGTTGCCTTCTCAAGAAGCCCATGTAAATGAATACAATGGAAGATCAATACAATGAATATTAAGTGCAAGCCATACCTTTCTTTGTGTATAGATCTTTTGAGTGGGGACCACCTCTATGGTCTAACGAATGAGAAATAGATATTGGTTGAAAGTGACAAGTGGCAATAATTTTGTAGGAGTTTTTCTTGCCTATGATAATATCTGTATCCTTGAAGGTTTGGGAAAATGGGATGCTGTAAGTTTGGACAGATGCTTGGCATATGTCTGCCAAGATTTGAATTTAACCTTGATTTTGTAATTCTCGGAATCAGCTTGCTGTCAAACTTTGGACCATTATGCAAATTTAATTTTTACTAAATCTTAATTCTTAATCCCCCTTAGAACTATATTATGTAAGAATTGAAACATGTAATTTTAAGAAATCTACTGGAAAAGATTTGCAAGGGAATCAATACAACTATCAAACATAGAACTAAGAATTCTGTATTTGTTGCCGTGAAAACTGCATGAATGACACGGCAATAAGAGTAGGATGGATGTTGCTGGTTGTCTGGTCCTGGTTCTTCAGCACCCTTCCTAAAAGGTGGTTGGAATCCTGAGTCGAGTTGCTCTGTTCCTGGTCATCTTTGAACCCTTTCTTTCCGGTGGCAGAGTTGATCTAGGAACTGTTCGGATGTTTAGCCTGTTTTAAGGTCTCTTGTAGTTTTGGTGGCTGTTACAGCTTAGCTGGTTGTAAGTTGTAACTCCTTATTCTTGGCAATGAAATTTAATTTACCAAAATAAAAATGGATGGTGCTGCATCCCGTAGGTTTGAGTGACAAATGGGAAGGATATTAGGATTAGAATGTTAGATTACTAGCGTTATTAAAAAAATGTAAAGAAAGAGAACTTATTTTCCCCTTGTGGATTTGGCGATTGCTCTAAAACCCATCCTTTGGTGGATTTGCACATATGAGTTAGTTTTAGAGTTTTTTAAGTTTTCGCATTTTCTTGTTGCAGTGTACAGGAACTATAGACAAGGTTGACCATGGAGGCTGTGATACTAAAGAGGAATATTTGGGGTCATAGGTTTTTAATTTATTTAGTGATAAATCTTGTGAGAAGATCTTAAAAGCAGATCCCTTATGAGGCGCCTGTTTGTGAGCTAATGATTATGGCCAGTTGTTGAGAATGAAAATGTATATTGAACTAATTGTTTTGAACCAAAGAAAATACTTACTTCCAAATATGTTCTACATTTCTACTTTTTTCCATCAGACATGGCCATGATTAAGGGCCTGTTCTCTTCAGATTGTTTTCAGTTCAGTTTAGTTCCAATAAGTTAAGTTCAGTTCTTAATTTCTTTCTCTCATAAAAATATTCAATTCAGTTTAGTTCAGCTCCTATAAGTTAAGCTCAGTTCAGTCAATCAAAAAAGGCCCTTATTTATGCTGAAGAATGAGAAAACATGATATGAGTCAATTCAGTCAATCAACTTACCCCATGTTTCTGGAGAGGCTCCTGTTTAAGGTATGGTGGGTGTGGGGGGCAGATTTCTTAGTTTTGCTCCTGCTATATTAGAGAGTTCTCTTTTTTGGATCCATGATCTGATACATAAATATCTACTGTCCTAAAAACGTGAACCTTTTAGCTTCATAAGAAATTGGTCTTGAATGTTAGACGCAAAAGTTCTTATCCAAATCTTATTTGATCTGGTCTTGACTTGGCGGCTAAAATGGACCTGAGTGAATACATTCATATCTGTTGTTGGTTTCATCGTTTGACCTTTTCAAGGAGGAATTTCATTGAAGGAACATCTTATGTGCAGAGTTCCATCTTCTTGGTGTTTTTGTGACTCAAAACTCAGAGGTTATCACATTTGTATGTTAGCCACTAGGGACCACTAGCTTATTTTCTTCATTAGAACCGTATGTTTTAGCTTTTTCTCGATTCTTGTTTCTATGCCCTACTTGTCTCAGATTTGACCGTGTTGTGTAGAACTGTATAAGCTCACAGTTTGGCCTTTGGCTGTGGTTGAACTGCTAAAAAATTGCTGTTTGATATTTGATATTCGTTTTTCAGGAGCCGGTTGAAGTAGTTGGAATTGAGAAAGAGATTAAACATGTTTCTGCTGGCTACTGTCACTCATGTGCAATTACAGGTCAGGAGTTTGAAATCCTCACCCTTATATCTTTCTAATTAGTTGATTACTATTTCTTTGTATGCAATTTTGTTTAATATTGTTCATTAGATGGTGTAAACCTAATGTGATGTGGGATCTGTTCCCCCCCCCCCCCCCCCCAAAAAAAAAAAAAAAAAAAACAACAACAACAAAACAATGTTAGCTGACCCCTACCCATTTTGGGACTAAGGCTTTGTTGAAGTTGTTGGAGTAAATATTACAGTATTCCACCATTTTTCCCCCTAGTGATGATGTAATACTGAAAACAGTGGAGAAGACTGAAGGAAGGACCAAAAAAAAAAATTTTGCCATTTTCAATTCTTTCTTTCACTGATATATCATAGGAATTTTATCTTGTGTAGAATATTGTAACTCCTCATCACTATATAGTTTCTTACTTGTATGTATGTTCTGAGACATCTTCATCAACATTAACCTAATGCCTCTGAGAAGCTTCCAGCTTGGCCAGATGAGTGGGGCTTCAAATGTTATTTGTAAGCAGATTTATCCTATGATAATTGGGAGGTTATCACTAACTGAACCGTCATCTAATTTATAGTGATGCAACAACCACTTGCTTCAGCTTCACACTTTAACTAGCCATTTTAGTATAGTCCATTGTAAACCAAAAATCTAAGAATTGTCTGCATTTTGGGAAGTCAATGTTCTGTATTTAAATATTCATTGTCTTTGCTATTTAAAGATTTCATACCTCCTATCTCTCAAGTTTCAAGGATTTCCATTGTTGTGTACTTTTTAAAACAATTTTCTCTAACTTACAGTTGATGGGGAGCTCTACATGTGGGGGAAGAACTCTAATGGACAGCTTGGACTTGGGAAGGGTAACTGCCACTTTCTTAATTCTTAGTTTCTTGCTATTTCATTTTTCAAAGTAGTTTCTTTTCGTTATAATGTAACAATTGTTCAGAATATTATGGGTTGTGTTTATAATAGTGTCCAGAGTTTGATGTGTCAGTCATTGCTTAGTTGCTTGTAGTCACTCATTATTAGAATTCTGTCAGTTAGTCATATCTTCTTTGTTGCTTTTGTTTCATTCATATTTGATGCTTGCCGGACATTGCTTGCTGAAAGTAAGCATGTTTCCAGATTCTTGAAATTTAGTACAGCTTATATCTGCATTATGCATAGACTTTGAGTATATGTTATTTTTATACTCTATGATATTTATTGTTGCCTTTCCAACTCTAAATGTAGGAAAATTAGAGGGTTTTTTTTTTTTTTTTTTTTTTTTTTTTTTTTTTTTTTTTTTTTTGTGTGTGTGTGTGTGTGTGTGTGTGTGTGTGTGTGTGTGTTGTTTGTGAAACTTGTATATTTTTAACAGAGTCTTACCTAGTTACTTTTACACCAAAGCTCCTTTATTTCTTCGTGGAAAAAAAAAATCTTTATTTCTATCAAATTTAGTGTTTCATTACTGTTTTATACCAAGTTTGTGTATGAACGTGTTTCCTTGAATTTAGTAAGCTGTCTTAATTGAAAATTAACTAGTAACATGCCTTTTATCTTTCAGGAGCACTATCAGCAGTCTCAAGACCACTAAAAATTGGATACTTGACTGGGATCATCATCGAAATGGCTGCTTTAGGTTCAGAGCATTCTATAGCTGTTACTGGTATATTCTTTGTATTATTTTTATTACTTTACCTATATATATTATTCAAAGTACTTTTGTTTTACTTGCTAAACTTCTATATTCTATTGGGTCTAAAGATGAAGGTGCCACCTTGAGCTGGGGAATGGGAAGTTCTGGAAGACTTGGTCATGACCGCCAATCAGGCTTGTTCAATTTTCTAAGCAGCAGGAGGTATGTGTATATTATATTATTATTGCTGGACGTCTATTATCTGGGATGCATTGGTTATGTTTTAATGTCCCACACTCCCACTGCTTATTGGATCAGTCACAAGACTCACGACTATTAGTTAGGTGGGTCAAATTCGAAATTCTTAGTTCTTTCTTGGACAATATGTGTCTTACACATTTACACTAAATATGTGTTCATATGTCAACATGTACATTATCAGGAAATTCTATTTGCCTTTTAGTTATTCATATTGTGTTCTTTGTTGATAGTCATTCACTTTCAGGACCATCTGCATAACCCCTGCCCAAGAGTTCCCAAAACATCTGCATAACCTCTGCCCAAGAGTTCCTAAAATATTGTTTTCCCTGGTGGTTTTCATGTGCCCAAAGACCAATTTTATTTGTTGTGGGGTGACTCACCATATGATCCCTTGTTATTATAATTTTGTAACATGTCACTAGCGAATGTCACTTTAGCTGACAGCGTATCTAAGTTAAAAATTGATATTGTTACACTAGATCTCTGTTACTAGGGTCACTGTCTGCAGATTCTTTGTTAAACTCCAAAGTTGTGTGGATGGTAGTATTCTTCTGTCCATCCCTCTTTGTTAATTTGATTGTGGAATTCCATTTACACAAATCAGAAATTATGGAAAATGATTCATTTAAAAGAAAACATGTTGATGCCTGGCTCCTCTGTATTAGTTCCAGTTCAATGATTAGAAAGAGGCAACAATTGCTAACACGTTGAACCTTAGGAGATCTTTTAAGTGCCAAGCTTTTTCATGTGATGTATGTATATTCATGTATGAATAAATTAATGCAGTGAATATACTCCAAGGCTTATCAAAAGACTTGAAGGGATCAAGGTACTTCATATTTTATTTGAATGGTTTTTAAATATTTAGGTCATCCGGAATTTAACATGTTAATGAGCTTATTACTTGTTTATAGGTCAAAACAGTTGCTGCTGGATTGCTGCATTCAGCTTGTATTGATGGTATTTGTGTTACAGATAACATTTTGGAGTTACCTTGCATTCATTAAGAAAATCAGATTAATGTCTTTTATTACCTTTGTTTTTGCAGAAAATGGCAATGTCTTTATTTTTGGTGAAAGAAGAATAAACAAGCTTGTGAGTTTTTAATGCTAATGCTTAAATGAATCAAAATTATTACGGAGTATAATTTCCTGGTTGCTTGATAGCAGTAGTTACCATCCCGTCTAATTCATTCAATTTGCAGAACTTTGGAAATTCGGACAATGTTACTGGGCCATCAATGATGTCGGAACTGCCAATTTCTGAAGAAGTTGCCTGTGGTGGTTATCATACCTGTGTTGTATCAAGTAAATTCTTTTAACCTTTTCTAAATTTTTGTAAATTTTGTTTCCCTTCCAAGAAGCTTATGGTATAGTATGAGAACTAGTTCATTAAGGCAAGGATGACTCAAAAAAGGCAGCTCCATTCAAACTCATGGCTTTTAATTGGATTTCATTTTGATGGCTTGTTAGTCAATTGTTGTTTTTCTTCATCATTAATAGTGGAAGAGGAATTATCTATGCCATTGGAAAACAAAGATTGAGCATTTATCATCAAAAGCCTCAAAGATCACTAAAACTGTGGTACCAATTTTATTGGACAGATATAACAGAAGTAGAAAATGCATTTTGCTAATATATTGAAGTTTTTGCAGCACTCTACATGAATTATATAAAAGCATTGCTGCTAAGCAAACCAAGTCTAAGCTCAAGCAACTAAATAACTAAATAAGGGAAAGTGGGAAATTTGGCACACTAAATTAAGTATGCTAGACTTGCTAAACCTTCTAAGTTTTAGGAAACATAATATATACTATAAACCAGACCTTTGTGTTATGAATAAAAGAGTGTAATAGTCCACTATAAAACTAATGTTGAAGCATCTTGTTTTGTATGATAGCATAAGATAAACAATCTATGTCTCAAGTTGTAGTTAAGTATTTCCACTCTTCTATATGCTTATCATTTCAGTATACCCATATACAATCCTTTCTTTACCAAGCACCACTGAATAGTAGATCGACTAGTAAAAATCTACCTTTTGAGGTTTACTCATAGCTCCAAGTTACTCTTTGTCAACACTCCCTTTTGTTTTTTCTCACAATACCAAATTCATATAGAATAGAGCTTTACGTCTTCCGTTAAAACTTGTTTAGCATGTGTTTTTGATCTATTTGTTTGTTTGACATCATTTACTAAGATTTCTTAGTCGGTGGGAGTATTTTATATTCCAAGTGATTCTTTTGATCTAATGTTATCTAAGTAAACTTGTTTGGCATATGCTTATGAGTTATGACTTCTGTTTAGTTATGTCAATGACCTAGCATTTGGCTTTCTAGATTTTTGAGGATGTAAGAAGTAGTAACTTAAAATGTGTAGAAATAGACACATAGATTCCAACTGTGGTCTCTGGCAGCTCTTCCTACTCTCAAGGCCTCAACAATATCCTTTTGCTATATGATGCACATGAAATCTTACTTGGCCAGCTAGCCTTTTAAAATTATTCTTATTTTTATCGCTGTAAATTTTCTCACAGGGCATGGAGAATTGTATACATGGGGTTCAAATGAAAATGGCTGCCTTGGCATTGGGTATGTATCTGTTGGATTTCTGAAGTTGAAATGATCAAATAGTCTTTTTTGACCATGTGATAATGACATACTATAAAATATCATTTTGTATCAATTGTTCTTATCTTTTCTCTACTGACCTAGTTGTACGGACGTCATTCATTCCCCAGAAAGAGTTGAAGGTCCTTTTCTAAGGCAATCAGTGAGTAAGGTTTGTGCTATTCTTGGATTTTACTCCCTATATTCTGGTATATAAGTATATTTGCTATTTCAGCCATTTGCACAGGGATTAAGAGTTCATTTATCTGACTTAGTTTTCATCTGCTGTCAATATTAATCCTAAATATATGTTTTCAAACTTTTCTAACCCCTATTTTTTACTTGCTTCTCATCTGGAGGTGTTTGGAATGTTGGATTATTAATACTCCTAATTTTTTATGCACTTCAATGACGATTGTTGTCAAAGTTTATAGTCATTTTATTAACAACGACTGTAAATAATGTAACATCATTTTCCAACAAAAAAAAAAAACGCGTTTTTTTTTTTTCACCATTGCGAACATGAATAATGAATTTGTGGTAGGTGCAATACCAAAGAGAACATGGTCATTCTCTTCTTCTTAACATAATTAAACAGTACCAATGCATCAAAACTATGATTCATGTGTCTTATAGATTTGCTATAGATATCTGTATATTCTTACTTTTAAATCTGCATCATGTCAGGTTTCTTGTGGGTGGAAGCACACAGCTGCTATTTCAGGTGGGTGGTTGTCTTTGCAGAACATTTTGGTGTTGCTGATACTTGATAGTGTTATTTTCTTCTAAGCATTATCTCTATTCTCTATCACACCTGAGGGCTGAGATATATACATTATTATTCAACTGATGCGTTGATGCCTATACTATTTATCACGTTTAAGAATTTCATCAAGCTTTTGTCCAGCAATATACTTCGTATTTATTTTACATTGTTAACTGTGATTGTTTTGACTTTTTTGCTGATTTACTTTGCCTGATATTTGGCAGATGGCTATGTTTTCACATGGGGTTGGGGAGGTTCTCATGGAACATTTTCTGTGGATGGTCATTCTTCCGGTGGACAATTGGTTTGTTACTCTCTCTTGTACACCCTTTAGTTATTCCTGTTTGGCTCCACATGAACTATGTCTTAGACCCTTAGTACAGACGATCCATTCTGGATGTATAACATTAAAATGTTCTGGACTTTCTAGCTTATTGTGGAATGCATGCATCCTTTATTTAGCTTGTTAGTTGGATTACACTTGTATATGTAGTTATATCCAAAGAATCGGTTGTTGGATTACACGTTTACTCTGTGTATGAAGTGTTGTTATATATAAGGAGCCAAGGAGGGTCAGTGTGTGTGAGTAGCAATGTAAGGGAGGATCCATTGAGAATTTAAAATGTGAATGATTAAAGGTTAAATCATTTTTGATGTACAAAGTATAAATACATATTATCTTTTAACTATAGGTTCGTTGTTTCTAAGATTTAAGCTCGTCAGTTTTTAAGGTACATTGTTTGCAAGCCTGAGGTTCATATTGCTTATACATAATATGTCTTCAATGCAAAACAATTATTAAATAAAAATAGTTAATTTGTATTTCAGAATTGAAATTTAGAACATACTTGTATGAGATAATAACCATTGAGCTTGAGAGTGGGATGAACTCCCAGGGGGTGGGGTGAATCCTAAAGGATCTCCAAGTGTTAGAACATGGATAGGGAAACAGGCATGCAGCCCTTCCCCTACTTGGTTTTCATAGTGTTGACAGTAGTAGTCATAGTCACTAATTAGTCAAGGAAAATTGGTGAAAAATTAAGTAAAAAAGTGATAATGTTAGAAGTATATGAGGACTAAAGGAAATATATGCCTGCTATAATGATGGCATGGCGTGATTTTAAAACAGTCGTTATGTAACAACATTTCATGGATTATGAAAAGTGGGAAATCCTATCATAATTTGCCTACCCATGGGAACAACCTTGTTTTAGTTCCTTTACTGTTGGACACGTAAGGCTGTGTGGCACAAACTTGTTTTTTCCCCACATAATTGTAGGAAGCTTTAGGCTCTTTAGGTCTTTTGGGATGCTGCAAGGTTTCTCAATATAAATATTTGGGGACTTTCTACCATTTTTTTTTATAGTATCTGCAGACATGACATAGGGCCTTTGCAGGTAGAGCTTATCTCGTTTAATCTCATCACATGCATCTTGTAATTATTGGGAAATTCGAGGAAGACTTTATCTATTTTTAATATCTTAGTGGTGTGATAAATGTGAAGCCATGATTAGTTGGTTTGCCACATTATGGTCTAACATTCATAATAATTAGGGATATCTTTTCAACAGTGTTTGGGATGGGTCTCTTGCCGCCAAAGTGTGGCCATCAATCAAACTGTGGAATCTTTCGTTTTGAAAAAGTTTCTGCTAGTAGCCCAAAGGGTTGAGTTAGTAGGCTTTGATGTTCCCATGTGGTTCTTATATCCTCAACCTTTAAGTCTTTAGAATTAGATGACTACTACAATTGCCAGCTTACTCTCAAAGGTTGCTTTTGTGACAGATAGAGATCCCTTTTTTCTTGGGACTTCCTATATTGTAGTATGGTTGCTCTTTTTGTCAGGGATAATTCCCTTGTTTGTTGTCATCTATTATTGCTTTGTATATTTGTCCTATTGCTAGACTTGATTATCAATTGAGACTTTGATTTGATTTTTCAAATTTCATGGTTTTGTATACATTTGTGATTTTGTGAAGAGGTGTCATTTAGGTCTCATGGAGTCATGGACATGACATATGCTTGTTAAGAGGGATCATTTTAGGCATAGTGTAAGATGTAAGATGATAGTGAGTTGAGTTTCTAGTGGTGGTGTAGGACTAAGAGACTTTGTTATCTTCGGACAATATCGTATATGTTTTGCACTCTGGTATATGGAATGGATCTTGGTAGTTTTCTTTGCACAGCTTAAATAGGTGCCAGATTTGGCCAAAAACATCCCGATCTGCTTAGGACATGTAGGCTCTTTATATACCTTGTGTTTGTTAGTTATAAAATTGGCAACATGGCAAGTACACCTGTTACTTCTACCAAGTTATTCTAGATGTTTGTTTAGAAATCTTGTGGAAGCTTCCTGTAAACCAGTTGCACCTGAATAACCTTAAAAATCACAGCTTAGAAGATGATTTATACAATTCTCATTATTTTGTTTCAATCTTCTAGTTTGCTGTTGTTACATTCAATAATTTTTGCTGAATACAGGGTCATGGGACTGATGTTGACTACATCAAGCCAACTGTCATTGATGTTGGAAGCAATGTGAAGGCAGTAGAAGTATCTTGTGGATTCAATCACACTGGTGCCATATATGAATGCATATAAGTTCCAGAAGGAGGCACTCGTATTCTGGACAAGTTACTCGCAGATCTTCTATGATCTTGACTAGGTATACCGTGCAGTCATAGTGTAGTTAATTATTTTGTTTACATCTCTGTGTTTATACCTGTTGTATAACCATTAATCCATTATGTTACGAATAACAAACCAGCCCAACAATATAACTCATCTTCTGAGAGGAATTTTGTTATTTCCATTGAGCCATATTGGTTGGTGGTAAAGGTACCTGTACTACATATCGTGTATAGTAATTGTAAAATGGAACCACAATAAGATTCATCACTGGCTGAGTACAGAATGAACTTGATCAGTTTTGTTTCCAATATGTGTAACATCTATTCTATATAAAAGAAGTTAAAAATAATTCGACAAAACATGTTGAGGTCCATTACTCTTAGTTTGTTTGTGTATTTGTTTAAATGGTTGTCTTTATGTTTACAATATGTGCTGAAAGTATATGATGAGGCGGTAGTTGTGGTCATATTTTCATGAGTTTTAGGAGTCACAAAGGGCAGTGATGTCACGGCAGATGTTTTTCTGTAAACAATTGAATTGATGATTATTTTATGGATTTTTCTCTCTTAAACCAAAGGCATTTTACTGATTATTGAACCACAAAGTCCTGTAATTTTTTGATTAAATCAATATTTTGTAGTTCATCTATTTGATTAACAAAATAAATTTTGTTGGTTAGTGAATGTCCCATTTAAATGTCTTGTAGTACTTAGTTTTATGTGAATAATTCTTTGGGGTTTTGTTATAAGTTGTTGCGTATTGTCTGATGAGGTAATATTCTCTTTTAGGGCAGGGTAACACTATTTATAATTGACTTAAAGCCAATAATATGAGTCATATTTTAGTGGGGTATAAACTTGGACGACATAATCTTAGATATCACGTGATTAGAGGTTCTTCCTAAGTTAGTCACCTCTTGGAATCTACATATTCGCAAATTTGGATTATTGGACTTAATGTGTACCACAAAAGTCCACAACTTAATAGTTTGATTATGATTTAACCTAACTGGGGCTGAATTTCTTCTTAATTAATTGTTACTAAATTAGAGGTCCACATTGGGACCGTACCCTAATGACATTCAAGCTTGTTAACAGAAAGAACTATGCACGTTTTATATAATCATTTACATGATTGATTCCTCACTTTTCAAGAAAGGACTAAACATCCTTTAGTTTTCGAAGAATATTAGCACGTCTCTAAATTTGCCGAAAACTATGTTTAAACAGAGGTGTCAAATTGGATGATTGGATCAGGTTCGATTGGATTTAGTCGGGTCGGGTATAATTCAGATTTGAATGCTAAATCATCATGTCATGCATATTACATTCTAATTGAGTCACTTTTGGGTTGATTCGAATGAGTTTTTGGCACCTCAACATTTAAAAGCCCATTAGAGTAGAGATACATGTCTAGTGTTCTAGTTTTCTATGCTAAAGTTAGTACTCTATCTAATATTCCATTGCAAAAGGAATCATATGTTTTTTGCATTGTTAACTTGAATATAGCCAAGATTATACACCGGACATATAGAAATAAAAATAAATTAAAAAAAAATAAAAATGGTACGTACTTGTAAATGTATTATTATAGTAGTAAAATAATATAGAGAGAGTAGATGAAAGAATTTTGACAAGTCCATGGTGATTGCTCCTGTCACTGAGATACATGGCACAGCAATTCAGTTGTGCAGTGTGGCGGATGGATAGACACACTTGTTATACAAATTGGACCTTGATATATCATATTCACATCAATTCTTTTCTGTGGGTCTTGACTTTTATATTATTATGGACCCACTTTTTATTATATTTGTTTTTGGCTCTGTTACACTAATGTTTAGAATTTATGGTGACTTGTGACATTACAATTTCTATGCTGGCCATTTAGATCTTATGCTATGGTGAGATTCATAGAAATAGAAGATGTATAAATTTAGTATGATGATCTTTATGGTTCATAGAGTAGAATTTTGATATAAAAATAAAATAAATAAATAGATATATTGGTTTTAAGCAATACATATGCATCTATCCTTTTCTTTGGGTCTTATTTACCATTGAATTGGATGGGGATATGTCATTCATCAATTTTGAGAATTTCTTTTTGGTATAGAACATTTTTTGAAATTTCAAATGAATCATAGCTATAGGATAGTAGGTTTAGAAAATTAGTTGCCCATGTGCTTAGCTACCAAACTTTATTAATGTTGGCTACTTTAATTTTTTCTCGAATTGGGTGGTTATGTCTTACGAAGTATACAATTATAGAATTTGCTGTTTTTGGAGTCGAGTTATACCTAATTTAGTTGATAGGGATTTTGCCTATGACGAAAATCAAGGGTTTAATCCCTACTTACAACAATTCTTGGAGTGAAAATTCCTTTACCCTTCCTCTAATCCCCGATAACTTGATCGGCTGATTTACCTGATCCCTTTTAAATGTTAGACAAATAAGACATGCAAATATACCTTAACCCTAAGTTAAACTCTGAAGTTGTTACTAGTAGAATAATTTATTCTGACCCCCCTCATTTTATGGTAGCAAAATCAATAATTGAAGTTAAAAACTTTATGAGATAATGATGATTAGTGTAAGTCAATAGAAACAACGCAATTCCAGCTGACTACCATAAGCTTTATAGCCCTATAACTCTAACCTCCTCCCCTACAAACAGGGTAACTCTGTTTCTCATCACATCTATCATTAACTCATTATTGCATTCTTATGGTCCCCATCTTTTAGACTTCATGCCTTTGCTACCTCACCCAATTATATACTTCCACGTCATCTCATCTACAGTCTTCTTTTTGTTGGGCCGGGCCGGCCCGTGGCTGTTTAATGGTGATATATTGTGGTGTACTGGTGTGGTCTCCATCTCCAATTCTCCATTTTATGTTTGAGTGATCATTGAGCTTAAGTAAGAAATTCAGATCAAATGTATTAGTCTTAAACATTGTTTTGTGAATCGGTGATATCAAATGTATTAGGGTCTATTCAGCTTATTTTCAGTTCAGTTTAATTCAACTCCAATAACTTCAATTCATTTCAGTTCAGCTCAGTTCAGTTCAGTCAATCAGAACAGACCCTTAGTCTTAAACAATTCGATATCTTCCCGGTAGTATTATAGTTCTTTTTCTATAATAAGTGAACTCGTAATAACTTTTTTTACGCAACCCATATTTTATGAGTGATGCTACACATACAATGGTTGTATGTGGGCTACCACATACAATACCATTGTATGTATGCCACGTCAAAAGGGAGTAAAAAAATAAAAGGGAAAAATAGAGGGAAAAAGGTGGGCCCTAAAATATAAACCAATTAAATGCTGCCAACAATGGTTGTATGTGGATGGCCCACATACAACCATTGTATGTGTGTATATAATTTCAAAATATAGTGTTTGTATTAGTACATGTATAAAGACGCAAAATTTTATTTCATGCGAAGTGTAAATGAATTACGAGTATGGCATGACAAATACTCCATAAAACTTATTTTTTACGATCTTCTGTTAATCTTTACTCCATATGTGTTAATTCCCACAAAAAAGTTAAAAGTTGAACAAGATTCTACTGGTAGTAAAATTCATAGCTAGTGCATGCTGTAAATTCCAGACAATGCATAAATACAGTCAAAGAAACGTTAATTCTTTGAGTTTGACCTTAAAATGGTAAATGAAACATCCTCTAGATGACCAAAAAGGTGTCATTATTCTACTAATCTATTTGGGTGTACTTTTATGGTGTCCAAAAGTTACCAAAAAGCGGATCAATTTTATAACCTTCACTATTTACCATTGGAAGTTGGGTTATTTGTGTGGCTGACCACAATTTACTTCCCTCATTTATTGACCTTTCTTTATCTCTTTTTACAGGGGATATCCCTCCTCCAATGACCGTACTAATTTGACTTTGCATGAACATTAGGAGAATTTGAAATGTGATTATTCTTTAATCTTCCTATGTTTTCAAACTTTTCAAGTGATTCGGGTAGTGAATGACTTGAAATGTGGATGCGATTAGAGTTTTGCTATACTCAATACTCCGTACTAACACTCCACTTTGAAAGGAAGGGTAGATAAGATTTGAATAAGGTCAGTTCGTTGTAAGGCAATGACAAATTCAATACTTGTTGTACAAAATAAAACTTCTTCCTTTGCAGCTAAATCCATTAAGTTCATGTTTGCCTTTTTTTGGTCGATTGAGAATCCTAAGCTCTATGAGCAATCGGTAATAAGTCCTTGCAACTGCAACACCTCTTATACAAAAGAAAGCTACGAGCATATATCTCGCTCTAGGGATTAGGTGTCACAATGACCTCTTGTTATGTCGGTTTCAATACCATGAATGTCCGATAATAAACTCAATCAAAAAGGCTAAACTGGTGAGCAATTGAAGTTCGGTAAATAATTTTACTATTATGTATATAACTAATTATTGTCACATAATCTCAAGTGTATCATGTGATAGATACACCCAAATATATAATGGTAAATGAACACTCTTATGCTTATCATGCCGCGTTATTTCATGATACAAATTGCGAATATACTAAGCACAAAGATGAAAGATCAGTGTTAAAATTTTAAATTTGGATCTTGCATCTAGGATGAAGGAGGAATAAGAGACAGTAAAAAAAAGTACAAGGTCAATAAATGCTAGACATGGAAGAGATAGGTGAAGTGATGAGGTAAAGGCATTGCCTGATGTGCATGAACGCCGTACAAACAAGGGTAGAAAGTAAGTGAGAAAGTATGCTATAAATAATTATAAGGTAATCATGATACATGAAAGAAGAGAGAGAACACATACACTATTTATATTTTTAATTTAATTGCTGAAATTGAATTGAAGAAAGGGTTTTTGGTCATTGTGTTATCTCGTGTCAAGTGTCAATTCCATTCCTTTAAACAAATATCAAAATATAGAAATATAATTAATTATTTATGAATAAACATTTCAGTTTGTCTTGTGATGTGTCCATCTTTTTTGTTTTTTGTTTGACCGTTGGGACAAACATTATAAAAGTTCAATGCTTTTTAGTTCACTGGTGGTAGCAGGTGACCTAGGAGTGATTTTTTAAGTCAATAAAGGAGGATATTTATACATAAACAAAAAAAAAACTAATTTGTTTTGTCATTAAAAGTTCTAAATTGATTAGAATTTTGTAGGATTACACTAGTAAGAGTATTTGAAATTGAAACTGCATAACATTAGTTCTTATTCTTTATAATAATACTCATGTTAGGAGACTTCAATTCATAAAACTTATGTTGCATACTTGCATTACAATAAAAATTTTATAACAATGTCTTCTCATTCCAATTAATCGAAAACGATGAAGATATTATATATTTCTCT